GCATTACCCTGGGGCAAAGGGTGTGGTCTCAAGGTCACTTCGAAGTTGACCAAAAATTACATTTTATTAAAATGTTGATATTTTGCTTACGATAAGGACTAGGATCATCAAATCTTGTCAGTTGATGCATCTAAGGACCTCATATCATGTTGACTCAAAAGTAGGTCACGGTGACCTACTTTTTAAATTTTGCGGCCATTCTTTTTCAAAATGATTTAGAAGCATATTTTGAACAATTTAAGGCCTATGATCATCAAACTTTGTCAGTTCAATTGATGTATCTTGGTTCCTCGGAGTATGTCGACTAAAAGGTCACCTTGTCACTTAGGTCACCTTGACCTACTTTTTGAATTTTATGGCTAATCTTTTTCAAAACAATTAAGGTCATTAATTCTAATACAGAGAGATTTAGAATCATTAAATCTTGTAAGATGATGCATCTAGGGGCCATAAAACATATGTATTAAAAAGTAGGTCACAGTGACCTAGTTTTTGAACTTTGCAGGCATTCGATTTCAAAGTGTCCTAGAGGCATAATTTGGACATTTTAAGGCCTGTGATCATAAAACTTTGTAAGTTGATGCATTTTGGGTCTTCAAAAACGTCAACTGAAAAGTAGGTCACCGTGACCTAATTTTTCAATTTATATGACTATAATTGAATATTTCAGGTACTAATTGGCTTAGAATCATCAAACTTTGTCAGTCGATGCATCTCGGGTCTTTGGAGTAGGTTGACTGAAAAGTAGGTCACCGTGATCTACTTTTGAAAATTTATGGCTTAAATTAAATATTTCAGGTACTAATTGGCTTAGAATCATCAAACTTTGTCAGTTGATGCATCTTGGGTCCTCGAGTACAACAACTGAAAAGTAGGTCACTGACATACTTCTGAAATTTTATGGCTGTATTTAATATTTTCGGGTACTATTTGGCTTAGAATCATCAAACTTTGTCAGTTGATGCATCTTGAGTCCTCAGAGAATGACAAGTGATCAGTAGGTCACCATTTCCAACTCTCAGGTACTAATTGGCTCAGAATCATCTTGGGTTCTCAGAGTGTTTCATCTAAAATGTAGGTCATGATGACTTACCTTTGGAATTTCAAGGCTTTATCTAAATATACAGGATACTCAGAGGCTTCAAATAGAAGTGAAATAGAAGTGATATAGGTTGTACAGTTTATCAGAAGAGCGATTCAAGGCCCTTGGGCCTCTTGTTTATATTTTAATGGACTTTTGAGCTTGAATACTGTTCGTAATCTCTATATATTTCATAGATTTTTTTGTCACTGTGGAAAATTTTGATTTTAGATTTTATCTTACAATAACATGATTTATGTATGTCAGATGTGTCTATTTGAGATTAAAATATGGTAGAATAGAAAAATGCAATTTCAGTATTTTTTAAAGAAACTTTGAAAAGGTAAACTAACTGGACCCATTTTTTTTCTCCCTGAACAAACAAAAAACAAATAGAATGCATATTTATAAATAGAATAGAAGTAATTATTTGATTTTAGATCCTGGACTTAATCATGGCATGAGATGTACATAATACATGTATGAGTAAATTAATTAAAGCACTGCTGCATGTTATTTTATTAAAATACTAGACTTTGACCCATGTGTGCATGGGTTGACATTGTTATGAATCCATGTGCATATCGGACATTTACAAAATAGATACATTGACACATTCATATTGTAAGGTACTTTTGAGATAAACAATGAAATTCAATGTGAATATAATTCTGGTGGGTTTTTGTTTTTGTTTTTGTTTTTTTGCAAAATTGTTGCGTAACGGCGTAGCGCAGAATGGGTTTGACCCCCGATTAGCTATAAATCAAGTCATGAGTTCTCGAATCACGCCGGAGCTTACAAAAAAAGCTACATAATTTTCACCTTTCCTAACAAATTTAATAAAAGAAATTATGGATATTTATTGAAAATATGACGACAACAACAAAGAATTCAGCACTGCTGATACATATCAAGCAAAGTAATGAAAATGAAGAAATGTGCTAAGCTGGTATTTTTACACTAATCAGTTATTAAACTAAAGGTGTAACAAATTTTGTAACAATTTTAACACTGCAGGTCTCAACTTGTTCAAAATATGACCTCAAAAATAAAAGAGTTAAGCACTGCTAATACATATACTTTATATATACACAGGTAATAGACATGTATATAATCTGTTAAAGCAGAAATGAACATGGAAAAATGTGCTACACCTGTTTTTTTTCCACAATTTAGCAGATGTGAAGCAGAACAGATTATCTTGCAAATACCCCCCCCCCCCCCTTCCCAAAAAAAAGATACTGGTTGTTCAAGAGATCAGAATAAAAATTAAGAATATCAAATGTACTTTATATATGATATAAGAAAATGCTCTCATGATTGTCTGTTTTGATAAAAATTAATATCCTTGAATTAGTACAGTATAAAATATATGGGAAACATAAATTATCATTATTATTAGATAAACCAAGCTTAGTAGGAAAGTAGGAACTTGAAAGTACTTCTTGCTGCAATAATGAAGACTTTTCCTGGGGGGGTGGGGGGGGGGGGGCAACTCTTTTTGGATCATGCAATATCATTCCATTTTTTAATTGAAATCATACAATGTAATCAGAAACATTTTCAAATAAATGTTTCTGATGTAATTATTCAGAGCCTAATTTTTTTCCAAAATATTTAGTTAAGTCTAAGTTTACTGACCTTGACCGATTCTATTCTGGGACAGTCAATGAGAATTTGGGAGCGGGATCTTGAACTGAATATGGGAATTTTTCTTACTTCATACGTAAGTAATGCAGCAAAAATTAAAAAAAAATATCTCATTAACATTTATATATCTGTTTAGTGATAACAAAAGGTAATCTACTGCAGTATTAAACGATCAAAAGTCATTACATTACTTGAGAACTGTCATGGCTGCTGAAGAAGACAACTTGTTTTCACGCTGGTGTATTTTTTTCTTGTGACGATTTAATAAAACGTTAGTTTGTTTGCTACGATTAAATATAATTCATTTCATCAATGAGTAAATTTTTTTTTTTAATCTTAATTTTGTCCCACCTCATAGTTTTGAGATTTACTATGCATGGTTTATATTTTACAAACGATTGATATTTTAGCAGCATTGATAGAATGAACTGTACGGACCGCAAGGGCTGACTTCAGACTACCTATCAAGCGTAGTTACCATGACAACCATTACATATTTAGAAGAACAGGCCTTCCCTTCTATATGACGTACTGAAGATCAGTAACAATAATTTACATATTTCACCCACTTTTTTGAAAGTTAAAGAAATTTTTGGAGGTGAATTTAAATATAAACAATAAAACGCTTTCTTTGATGGTTCACATGGGAAATGCACGGCGCAAGCATTGCAAGGGGTGTTCACCGTATTGTTGACAGACCAGGGTCAGAGGTCATTACATGTATTTACATAATAAAGCTATAAACCTACAATAATGCTATTGATTTCACTACACTCCTAAGAAATATAATGTGAATTTTTTGCATGGAATCAAATATTTCTTTGCCCTTAGTTTATGTTTCATATTTACCACGTTATAAATTTCAGCAGTGAAGGTAATAGTAAACATGGCGAACAAATTCAAGTTGCAATCATTTAGACACATTTCAAATTGAAAATATCGGTTATATTGACGTTTTTTAATTACTTCGATTTATTTCAAAGAACAAGGTACGGTTTCAATACAAATCTTGCCCTGTGTTTTTCTTAAAAATAAAAGTGATGTAAAAAATTAAAACTCATGCTTTTTGAATTATTGAAATTCCATGCAGAAAGATCATACAAATCTTTTTTCTCACATGACCTTCCAAATGCTAATTGTGACGTCATAAACTTGTGCATTTTCCCATATTTTCTTAAAAAGTTGCAGAAGACATCAATTTTCAATGGAATTTTCTTTCAGATAATATTGTCCACAGGCATCGCCCACAAAGATTTTGAGATATGTGATTTTTCAAAGAATTTTACACAACATATCTAAAAATTAACGTGGGCGACGGCTGTGGACACTATTTTCTTAAGGAAAATAACCCTTGATATGGGACATTTTGAGGCTTTTTCTGTTTAAAATAGAGAAATGCATCAAATTAATGACGTCATATATCAAGAATGGTACTCCATCATGCTATATTTTTTCCTGATTTATTACAGTCATATACTCAACTAATATTTAAGCCAGTTTCAAAACTTTTTGAAAACATTAAATTTTTAGGGCACAATAAAGCTGAAACCATACCTTCTTCTTTAAGAAATGAAAATAATGTTATTGTAATTTTTGGCGGAAAAAGAATGCCTACTTCACTAAGATGTTATTCTAGCTGGAGTTGTAACACCCCCCCCCCTTCCCCTCAAAAAAGCATAAAATATAGGAGGGATAAAATAAAATCGGGTAGTTACATTAATATTGCTCCTACGATCATGAGCTTTTTGCCCCCGTTGAGATGGCCAGAGACATAAATAACATATAATAAATATGTCTCCGAGATGGCGAATGATTACCCACGTTGCCACAATATCACATTTGTAATGGATAAACTCAGAAAGATAATACAAATATGTGTAAATTTTCATTGAAAATTTGCTACATATTCTGTTCATATATATTTATGATTTATGATTTCTTATTAGAGAAATATAAAATAACAAATATAACTTAGTACTTCTTTTGTCTTGAACACCGTGATTTAGCGTGAGTGTAATGCAAATGCGCAAGATTGTAAAATCCAAAAAATCCAGATGATTTCCGGAATTTTCTGAGGAATTTTCGGTGATTATTAATTAGCCAGGGTTAATTGAGAAAAAATAAAAATAAATTGGTAATCTTCAAGTACCAATTATGTTTAAAATATGTAAAACAAATGACAGTACTCTTCCGATTTATCGGTATTAAAGGCCAAAAATTCGAGTCTATTATTTTAATATAGTAGTATAGATTTCAAACATTGTTACAGCTTTGCCTCCAGAGATTACCAATTGGACGAAATTGGTCAGAGTTGCTGCTGGGAATGATGCAGTTTTAACATGTGAACACAATGGGTATCCGACACCAACTCTTCAGTGGAAACGAGGTCCACAACTTTTAAATGGAGACAGATACAACTTTACACAAAATTCAATAACAATTTTTGTAAGTAATACTTTATAATTTTATTCAATTGAAATTTTAGCAGCTATGATAGGTATGGTTGTAACCCAACATCAACCCATTGAATTGAGAATGGAATCATTATCCTAGCATCTTTTACAGATGTGATGGACAATGGTCATTTTTGTGTGATGCCATGAGCATCAGGCAGTGTACAGATAATTTTTTCCATGGTCCAGAACTAAGTGATCATACTTAGTGAGCTAGAATTTTGTGCCAGCTGATTTACATGGGAATTTATTACCTGCATTTTAACAAATACAGTTTGCATAAGAAAAATCATATTACTTATGCAAAATAATGAAGTGTTTACTGGATACTACCTTCAGTTTTTTTTGCATGCATCTGTTTATTATTTCCGATTCTTTATACAGACATGTCTGTGTAACATTTTTATGCCCCCGGATCGAAAGATCCTGGGGGTATATTGTTTTTGTCCTGTCTGTCTGTTTTTCTGTCTGTCTGTGTTCAACTTTAACCTTGCCCATAACTTTTGATTGGTTGGAGCTATGACTTTCATATTTCACATGTGTATTCCTTGTGACAAGACCTTTCTTTGGGTATCATCATATTTGACCTTTTGACCTTGACCTTGGAGTTTGACCCACTTATGCAAAATTTTATGAGACTTTAACCTTGGCCATAACTTCTGAACAGTTGGTGCTTGGGGTTTCAAACTTCACATGTGTATTCTTTGTGACAAGGCCTTCCTTTGGATACCAACAACTTTGACCTTTTGACCTTGACCTTGGAGTTTGACCTACTTTTGAAAAACTTTAACCTTGGCCATTTTTTTAATGGTTGGAGCTAGGACTTTCATACTTCACATATGTAATCCTTGTGACAAGACCTTCCTCTGGATACCAACCTCTTTGACCTTGACCTAGGAGTTTGACGTACTTTTGAAAAACTTTAACCTTGGCCATAACTTTTGAATGGTTGGTGCTAGGACTTTCATACTTCACATATGTAATCCTTGTGACAAGACCTTGCTTTGGATACCAACAACTTTGACCCTGACCTAGGAGTTTGACCTACTTTTGAAAAACTTTAACCTTGGCCATAACTTTTGAATGGTTGGTGCTAGGACTTTCATACTTCACATATGTAATCCTTGTGACAAGACCTTCCTTTGGATACCAACAACTTTGACCTTGACCTTGACATTTTACTTACTTTTAAAAAACTTTAACCTTCGACATAACTTTTGAACAGTTGCAGCTAGGGCTTTCAAATTTCACAGGTGTATTCCTTGAGACAAGACCTTATTTTGGGTTCCAACATTTTTTATCTTTTGGCCTGGATTAAGACTTGCATTTGAGAAACTTTAACCTTCGCCATAAGCTGCCATATGGGAGCATCAGTGTTTCACAAACACATCTTGTTTCTGCATAAATTCTAAACTAAACACCTTCCATTTTAACTTGATCAATTCCATTTGATCAAAAGCTCTGTATGGTTGTTAAGTACAAAAAAGACAACTGAAATCTATGCATACTTTAAACACTTTATTTTCCAATTCTTACCAAATGCTTGTTAAAGAAACCATTATATATCTGGCATGTCTTAACAACTGTTTGTTAAGAACACGAAAAATAAGCTGAAGGAATTCTTAAGTAATTGCTTGTTAAATAAAATTAAGTAAAACTGTTACACTTTTATACAGAGTTTTAACAACTGTTTGTTAAGACTACCCAAAGAATTCCACAAGATATATTCTTAACAACTGGTTGTTAGAAAAGCAAAGGAAGACAAACAGAATAAAGTCTTAACAACTGCTTGTTAAGAATACAAAAAGAATTTCACAAGATATTTTCTTAACAACTGGTTGTTAGAAATGGAAAGGAAGTCAAAGGGAATAAAGTCTTAACAACTGCTTGTTAAGAATACCAAAAGAATTTCACAAGATATATTCTTAACAACTGGTTGTTAGAAATGGAAAGGAAGTCAAAGGGAATAAAGTCTTAACAACTGCTTGTTAAGAATACCAAAAGAATTTCACAAGATTTTTCTTAACAACTGGTTGTTAGAAATGCAAAGGAAGTCAAACGGAAGAAAGTCTTAACAACTGCTTGTTAAGAATACCAAAAAAATTTCACAAGATATATTCTTAACAACTGGTTGTTAGAAATGGAAAGGAAGTCAAAGGGAATAAAGTCTTAACAACTGCTTGTTAAGAATACCAAAAGAATTTCACAAGGTATATTCTTAACAACTGGTTGTTAGAAATGAAAAGGAATTCAAACGGAATAAAGTCTTAACAACTGCTTGTTAAGAATACCAAAAGAATTTCACAAGATATATTCTTAACAACTGGTTGTTAGAAATGCAAAGGAAGACAAACAGAAAAAAGTCTTAACAACTGCTTGTTAAGAATACCAAAAGAATTTCACAAGATATATTCTTAACAATTGTTGTTAGAAATGGAAAGGAAGTCAAACGGAATAAAGTCTTAACAACTGCTTGTTAAGAATACCAAAAGAATTTCACAAGATATATTCTTAACAACTGGTTGTTAGAAATGGAAAGGAAGTCAAACGGAATAAAGTCTTAACAACTGCTTGTTAAGAATACCAAAAGAATTTCACAAGGTATATTCTTAACAACTGGTTGTTAGAAATGCAAAGGAAGACAAACAGAATAAAGTCTTAACAACTGCTTGTTAAGGATGCTAGAAGTAGGTCCCTGGAATCCTTTTAAAATTTGTTAGAGACCCGGACAAAAATTGACAATGAATGAAAATGAATGAAGAATAGCACATACAAGTTTAAAGAAATATTCTTAACAACCAGTTGTTAGAGGAATAAGGTTAGGCAACTCAGGAAACATAAGAAAAATGTCTTAACTTTAAAAAAAAAAGATTCCTGATTCCTGAGTAAGTCTAAACCCTAACAACTGCTTGTTTAGAATCTAAGATAGCTTCACGAAAAGTCTTAACCCTAACAACTGCTTGTTAAATATAGCTTCATGAAGAAGTCTTAACAAACAGTTGTTAGAATACAAAGGGAAGTCAATTCAGAAAACTGAAAGACAAATGTCTTAACAACTGTTTGTTAAGAATTTCACAATTAGTTAATATGTTTAATCAGTTATTTGCAAAGAAAATAAGTCTGAAAACAACTGATTGCTAAGAATAGAATATAAAGGTAATTATTCTTAATGATTGTTAGAGAGCCAAGGGAAAAAAATTAGAAAACAAATTAGAAACAAGTCTTGACAACTGCTTGTCAAGAAAATCAGTTTTAGAAATATCGATTAACTGTTTCTAATTTAATTTAAAAACAAAACAGTCTTTAAAAATATGGCTAAAATATGGCTAAAATATAAAAAACAATAAGATAAAAATAAACATATTCATATCTAAAATAACCATTTGTTATGGGTATCATTAATATTAGGGGAAAAGAATCTTTAAAAACTATTTGTTCAGAATATCAGAAATTAGTTCACGATATCCTCTTAATTTACTGGTCTAGAAAACCGAGATAGAAATTGTAAATTAATTACAATTTCTAGCAAGTGTCTGTTGAAAACATGATATACAAATTAAAGATGTATTCTAAACAACTCATAGGAGAAACTAGGTAAAGATCAGGAAACATAAGAGTACGGGTTGTACAAAACCGCTAAAATAAACCAAAGTTATATGTACGAGGGCTGTTTGAAAATTATTGAGACAATTTCTTTTGCTCCACAAAGGACAGAGATAAAATCATAAAAATTCGTCAACATTTTATAAAGAACAAATAAAAGAATTGTGCAAAATTTCTTATTTATAGGATAATTAAATAAGTTCCGGTGAAATTATAAATACGTATATGTCTATTGACCTGGAGCAGCATCGCTACGTCACTTTAACGTCAGGTCTGCCGATATTTTCTCATTTTGAAATGATCGGGAAGCGTTCAATCTACTTTCTCTGTCATTGCATATAACATTCAAAAATTCAAACTGTCTCTTATAATTCTTAAACGATTCCTTAAAAAAATAAAATAAAACGCGTTCTGATGCTACCCCAGTGTAAAATATACACGAAGTGTCATATACAGGTTGACTTAGTATCATGCAGTACCGAGTTATGCAACGCGGGTCAACGTTATTTAGTCCGTAATAATTGATGGTCGGCCGGAGCCTTTGTTTTTACTCTGGTTGAATTATTTGTAAGAAAAAAATATACCAATGAAAAAAATAAAACCTTAGACATGTTTTATTGCGTTGTTATTGTTTTAGCAGGTCGTTTAGTCTGGACAAGAGTTCTCAATACCGCTACACAAAATTTTAGGTATGCTCGCTGCTCCGCCTTGACGTCAAAATCCGTTTTGTTGTCATTATCAGATTGCTATATCGCGCCTAAATTTTTTGTATGATCACCGTATTTCTGATCGAAATTCAAGAAAACTTGCACGAAATGAAGTCAAAATAAAAATGAAAAATTATATACATAATTTGAATTATTTTCTATCTTACTATGGGTCCACTGGGAGTTTTAACGTTGGTGTTACATATTTTCAATATCTGATTTCGTGACTGCGCCTGGTACCCCTACCATTGACACATTTATATACCAATGAAAAGAGGAAATAAAATATTTTTAAAATGTTTCTTGCTTTTATTAATTCTTAGTGTTTGTCAAACGTATATGCAAATTTTCACCGAAAAACGTTCATTAGAAAGAAGAATATACACATTGTCTCAATAATTTCCGAACAGCCCTCGTAGCTTTATACAAGTCCTAACAACTTCATATTTGCTTCTTATTACGAATATCAAAGGCCACTTTATAAAAAAAAAAGAAAAAAAAAACAAGTTAGTGAACCAAGCCTATTCAGAAAACATTTTAACAAGTATTGTTAAGTTAAATATACAGCTTAACAAATCATTGTCTTAATTTTTAATGTACATATCTTACCAAATAATTCTGTCAATAAAAGTTTCTGTCTGTGTTTCAGATTCATATTTTATGGTCAGGGATGGAACAATTT